CCCCCAACCACCTCGGTTCTTCAGCATAAACCTATACCAAAACTTCTCTAAACTCCAATCATGATATAAATATCTATACTTGAACTTGGTGGACTATTATTTGGGGGTTCAAAAAAAATTTTACTCTAAAGTCCACGCATTACATTAATGATTATACTTGGACTTGGGGGACTATTGTTGCGTGCTGTCACACCTGTCCTACCCACCTGGGCCAGTGACCCACTCATTCTGATCCACGTGGCATTCCTGCCGAGGTGGCCCATATTGCCGAGGTGGGTTATATCCGAACTGCTTCTAACCGAGGCCCATGGCCCGAGGCTTGGAAGCCTTTGGTTGTAGCTGAGGTCCTCAAATGGACGAAGCCCCGAAGTTGATGCGCGAGCCTCAACCACAAGCATCCTCCATGGTCACTTCTCCCAAGAGATCGCCTGCACGGATCTTATTCGAATGATTGATGGAATGTCTGTCATAAGCATAAAGGTCAAGTCTTGTCACTAGCATGGAGGCCCTGCACAAGCAATAAATGCGCCGTAAGCTAGCGAGTCAAATCCCATGCCTAAGAACAGACGTTTAGACCAAGGAGATAAGGCCACGTGCCACTTCATCCAAGGGCTCCCATTCCATATGTATAACTATAAATACCCCCGTTGTATAATGTCAAAGGGCTAATGCAAGAATCAATACTAAAAACTACATTTTACTCAACTCTCTCCCATTTACTAGCAATACACAAATCGAGTTTATACATTTTTGCGTATACATCTACGAGCACCGGTTGGTAATTATTGTACAATCGGATTACGAACAACCCGTCGGATCCCGAACGTTACCGTCCCGCGTCGTTGGGCTACTCCCACGCCCCTTTGAACCGCTCATTTAGACCGTCCACGTGTCTTAGCGTGTTGGACATTCGCCCACGCAAGCGCGGGTGGGACCGGCATCTGTTGGCACACTTTTTGGGGTCAACAGCTCCTTCTCCCGTTTTGCATTTCCTTCGAAACTAAAAGCGAAGGAAATTAGAGTTCGAGCTTGAGTTCTTCTTTATTATCAGAGAAATGGTGGAGAATTTAAGGTCCGACCAAAATGATGGAAACCCAGACTCCAAACATTGCCAAGTGGGTCTTGAGCTGCTTCAACGCCTCTGCCTTGTTTGGCTTCCTCATGAACTTTTTGGGAAACATCTTCACCGTTGAAGTCGAAGCTGCTTCTACTTCTCTCATGTGGTGCTACAAAGACAGATCTGTTTGGGCGGCGGCTGCTGCTGCGATCATTTTTGGAAAATAGAACTTGAAATAGTAATTTTTTTTAAAGAATGTATGGTAAAAACAAGAATAAGTTTTTGCTTTACATGTAAAATAATTTTATTAGAGAATGCGTAGTTAAAAATAAGTTTTACATAAAAATAAGTTTGAAAAAAATGAAGCTCAAACATAATATCAGTTATATTATACAATAATACTAATTTAAAGTTTAATTTGGGGGCAATACTACAATGTAATAGTTCAAGATATTCCTCATAAAAATCAAGATATTACAATACAATATATAACAACATCATAAGACATTATGTCATTGACAAATTAATTTGCTCTGGCTTTACGAGATACAAAAGTTGCAATAGTTTTGAGAAATAGAACTTGGAACAGTGATTTTTCAAAGAATATTCGACTAAAAACAGGAATAAGTTACCTTAGAATAGTGATTTTTCAAAGAATGTACAGCTATAACAGGAATAAGTTTTTGGTTTACGTGTGAAATTATTTTATTAGAAAATGCATAGTTAAAAATGAATTTTAAATAAAAATAAGTTTGAAAAAATTGAAGCTCAAACTTAATCTCAATGATATTATACAATAATACCGATTTAAAGTTTAATTTATGGATCCATAACTATTGCAACTTTTGTATCTCGTAAAGCCAACGCAAATTAATTTGTCATTGACATAATGTCTAATGACGTTGTTATATATTGAATTGTAATATCTTGATTTTTACGAGAAATATCTTGAGCTGTTACATTGTAGTATCGCCCCCAAACTAATTCTAGCTAGTTGGAACATATATTTAAATCCCACCTCCAGCTACTCAATCCATAATGTCTATAACTTGATCTAGCTGAAAAACTTATAAGTGAGTCTTGACTCTGTCAATTTTAACTCATAGAATCGTGTACAATTTGAAGTGGCTAGTTACTAAATATTTATACAATGACACTATATTAAAAATAGCTTTCATCTTTTCTGATTGTGTGTGTGTTGTACTCCAAGTTGTAAACGATAGTTCAATATCTACATGAATGATATTCTCATAATAAAATATAAGGAAAACTTGATTATCGATCCCTAGCTAGATCTACCTGTCATCCTCTAAATCTAACCTATATGATAGTGTATAGTTATTTGTGATAGATATATTTAAATCTCCCTTCTAAGTCAAATGGGAATTATTATTACTTTATTTCATTATTAATGTATCTCGCCTAACTCCACCTTTCTGTTACTAATTGAATGTTATAATCTAGGATAATTGCATCAGCGGCCTCAAACCCATCACCTTTTTGCAAACGTTACATTGATCTTTATTTTATGTCATTTACAGCCACAAACCTTTCAAACATTAACACTTAGGATCCAAATGGGTAATTTTTATTAATTTGATCATTAATTGACCCAATAAATTGACTTTAACCATTTTTAGAAGGGATAAAATAGTAACTTTGAATTAAAATTTAAAAAAGTAAAAATCCTTGTTCATGTTATCTTTCCCAAACCCACTCCGGCCCCCCACGTCCTAAACCCATCTCCACAGCCCCATTACCGCCTGTCGATAATTTCAACAAGTTCTATTTGGACCCGGTTTTTAGTGTGCAAGATTTTTCTTGAGGAAGTTTTGTTAGCTTCAAACAATCTGAAAAACGTGTCGGGAGGAAGAAATTCCATGACACGAGGCACCCAATTTATCGGGAAGCGAAGCAGACGAACTTAGGTAAGTAAGTGTGTGAAGTTAGAGAACCCAACAAGAAGTCAAGAATTTTGCTAGGAACTTTCAACATAGCGGAAATGGCAGTGAGAGCTCACGATGTGGCGGCAATAGCGCTTCGCGGGCGGTAAACCTGCTCAAACTTTGCTGATTCAGCTTGTAAGCTACTGGTCCCGGCCTTCACTGGTGCTAAGGACATTCAGAAAGCGACATCGGAAGCAGCCAAGGCCTTTGGGCAACTGAATTTCGAGCCGAATGAAAGAGAGGAAGCTCCCAAGTAAGTCTGCCGCCTGCCATGGATTTACCAAAAAACCCAACGGCTTCTCTCCACAGGCAACAAGCTGCAGGAGGTGACGTGGATGTCGTGGTGTGTTTTTTTTGGTAGGGTGTGGGAAGGAGAAGACGGACAACGGTTTTAATTTTTTGATTGGTAATGTCAATTCAAAATTATCATTTACCCATTTTAAAATAGGTCAAAGTCAATTTTTTGTGCGTAATTAACGGTCAAATTAATAGAAATCATCCATTTGATCTCAAGTGCTAATTTTTGAAAGTTTCGGGATACCAGATGGCGCAAAGTGAATTTTAAGATATAATCAGCAAAAAAAAAAGTTATAGTTTTGGGACAACTACTACAATTATTCCTTATACAATTTTATAATTAGGTCTAAAGGAAAGGGGAAAAAATGTTTGTTTAGCTAAGAAAAAAGTGTAAAACGGAATTATTTTTCCTCAATAAAGCTATTTGAGTCGATTGCCCTCGTGATATTAGACTCCAACATTAAATAACATGTGAAAATTAGAACTCGACTTGATTAATATTGAAAGACAAAGTGAGTGGAAATACTAATTTACAACAATACGTTAATGTCGAGCAAGTAGGTTTTTATTGAAACTCACTTCAACTTATATTCTCAACTCGATCAAATTTACAACAACACGTTAACGTCAAGCAAGTAGGATTTTATTGAAACTCATTTCAACTTATATTCTCGACTCGATCAAATTTAGTATTTGTTTATTGTATTAGATAAGACTTCATCTTCTCATACGTGTAAAATTTTAAAGAAATCACCTCCATTTAATAAATAATTTTTGTTTTCTCAACCCCATCCCCAACCAAACGAAGATAAGAACAGCAAAAACAATGTTCCTTTGCTCCCTTTTCGTACAAGTTTGCAATACAAAGTCAAAGTTTTCGTCTCCATCATCTGGAATATTTAAAACTGGCAGCACTTGTTGTTTAATTAAACCACCCATAGCTAAATTATAATCAACTAGGTTGCCACCTACAAATTTCATATATAAAACAGAAAAATCCCAGAATGTTAGAAGTGAAAAAAACAGATTTAGATTTCTTTGATCTTAAAAAATGTGCATTTCTGTGTTTATGTGGCAAGCACATCCGATATATCCCTTTCTTCTTTTGCTCAACAGAGATGAATACCACAACAGGCAGGCTTTTCTTCACCCTTTCTTTAGTAATTTTAGCTTATTTTTCTTCCTCGGTAATTCTAAATTGTTACTTTTGCAGGCCTACGAAGCCGGTGGGATGGTGGGAAGGTAGTATGATATTGGGAGGGAAAGATGAAGTAGCAGGTGGAACATGGCTGGCCTGTTCAGGAGAAGGAAAAGTGGCTTTTGTAACAAATGTATTGGAGCTTCATACCCTCCCTGAGGCTAAAAGCAGAGGAGATCTCCCTATCCATTTCCTCGAGGTACCCTTATTCTCCGACCTGATATAGAATCTCAAAAGCTATCATTTTCGTTTCTAGGCATGCAAAATATATCATTTCTTGCTATAGAGCCCGTTAAAGGGTCATAATTGCTGCTGCATGAGAGATAATTGATCAATGGTTATTGAACTTCGCTATAGATTACTGTTTACACACTAATCTTTACAATGTTATTCGTTGTTCACTGAACTTTGTTATAGGTAATACTGATGGAAATAATATGGGTGATTAATGAGTAACTTTGTTCAAATTTAGATGAGCAACGAGTAATCTTTTAAATTTCAGTGGGCAAGTGGTAACATATAGAAAATTCAGTGAACAATGAGTAATTTTTTAAGTTTCGATGAGCTCGTAGTAACCTATATCGAAGTTCAGTGACCATTGATTAAATTTACTCGTTGTATGAACATCCTATGACTCATGGAAATAGTTTGACAGACGAGATCATTTTAAGTTGTTTTGTTTCTGTTGGAGGACAGAGCGAAAAGAGTCCAATGGAGTTTGCTGAGGAGTTGGTTAAAGCTGCACATCTGTATAATGGATTTAATCTGATAGTGG